GCCAAAACACCCCTATACATAATAAAACAATAAAAAGTATTGTTTGAACCCATCATAGCAAATAATCTGGGCATGTTGCTCTAGGGTCGATACTGGAGCTAACCATTTTGGCAAGACAGGGTGGCCAGCGAATTCCTGGGCTTCACCTATCTCCAACCCTAGTCCCAGGGTAACAAACACACATCAACATGGCCAGCTTGTACATTAGTTCTGAAGAGACCAACTGAAGTCCTCATTCTTATGTTACAAGCACTCTACCACTGAGCCACCTCTCCAACTCATAGTTGTGTGGTTTTTTTTAAATTTTTGATATGACTTTAATCTTTTGTGGCTAATAAATATTCCAGCATATGGATTTAAATAATTTATCCAACCAGACCCCTATTGACATATCAGTGGGCTGTGCCCAATCTTTTGCTTCTCCATATAATACTATAGTTAATAACTTCATATATAAGTCGACAGTAAATGTACCTGTTCAGTGGGAAATTGCTGTTGAACCCATGATTGCTAGGTTTAGGTTGCGTGCCAATAGCAGGGAACACACCTAGCACCCTGACCTTGATTCCTAAATGCCATTTTCCACTTGAAGGGATCAAGAACCCTTGGAGAATGGACAGTTCCGTAACGGACCGGGGAGGTACATCATAGACCTGGAATGTCTTCCTTTGTCAGAAAGGTGGTCAGTCAAAATGGAAATCTGTCCAAAGATACAGATGCCAGTTCCAAGGATGGTGAAGCATGGGAAAAGTGAACATCAAAGTACATAAAGATAGGTACAAACCATTAATTAAATCCATGAAGCCGGGCGGTGGTGGTGCACGGCTTTATTCCCAGCACTCAGGAGGCAGAGGCAGGCGGATCTCTGTGAGTTCAAGGCCAGCCTGGGCTACAGAGTGAGTTCCAGGACAGGCACCAAAACTACAGAGAGAAACCCTGTCTCAAAAAACCAAAATAAATAAATAAATCCATGGGTCCTTGCTGATATGAATAGCATATTCCAGTCTCACAGTATCTCCCTGAAAGATACTTAATAATTACAAAGTGAAAATAAAAACCCAGAAGACACTGCTATAATGAAATTGTTTTTTAAAATAGCTTCAAATGACATAGGACACATAGTGTGTCTACATATTTACAGCAACATATCACATCTCTGATACTTTCTTAAAAAAAAATAAAAAGAGCTTGGATCATGCTAGGCAGTGGTGACGCACGCCTATAATCCCAGCTCTCGGGATGCAGAGGTAGGCAGATCTCTGTGAGTTCGAGGCCATCCTGGTCTACAAAATAATTTCCAGGACAGCCACAGTGGATACACAGAGAAACCCTGTCTTGGGAAACTAAAAAAGAAAAAAAAGTACGTATATATGTATATATTAAAAAGTATATAGATATATATGTGTGTGTGTATAAAAAGTATGTATATATGTATATATTAAAGAATTAAAAAAAAAAAAGCTTGAATCTAATCATGAGGACCTCAAAAGCCAAAACTGAGGGACTCTACTGAGGGAGACTGTATAAAGTAACAGATCAAGCAATACTTTTCAGAAGTATGAGGTTCTTGAAGACTTAAGGATTAATCCATGTTAAATGGGACTGGAGCCTGGAGAGATGGCTCAGTGGTTAAGAGTAGCTGCCACTTTTTCAAAACACCTGAGTTCAGTTCCCAGCACTGATGTCACGCAGCTCAACTCCTGTAACGCCAACTCCAGGCGATGATCCGATTCCTTCTTCTGGCTTTTGTGGCACCAGCTGTTTGCTGGTGCATATATTCAAATAAAATTTTTGAGAGAGGGGGAGAGAAGAGGGGAGATTGAAGACAGGACTCTAAATGCAGTGAACCCTTAGATCTGGAAAAGGCAAAATGACTCTCATACTCTGAAAACACGGATATGATATGATGGTGGATAAAGGGTAAATAAGACATGCAGGCTGCAGTATTATATTAATGTTAATTTCCTTTTTTACCACCTTTTCTGATGTTATATAACAGTGTCTTTGTTTCCAAAATTTTTCAGGGATAAAATCAATGAAAAAGTGATGTGTATGTATCTGCGTGTGCACCCAGAGATACACAGAAAGGTGGATGAAAGAATGCAACAGCTTTTCCTCTTGAATGCAGATGTGATAAAATGTTGAGATAGAACAGTCTGGGTGTGTGGGGATTCTTTGCACTATTTTTATAACATTTTTGTAATTTCTGAAATGATTTATAAGTTCAAAGCAAATATGTGTAGATTTGAAATTTGGTCCACATCGTCATTTCGCTTCCTCTAGAGCAAGCACATGTTTTCTCCCCAACACCAGCAGTGTGCAAAGATGGCACTTCGTGTATACAAAATGCACTCACATTTAGGACAACTCCGAAAAACAGGCTAAGGCAGGTTCTCCATGTTTGTGTAAATGAAGCTTCCAGAAGTGAAGACAGTAAGAGGAGTGGTTAAGGACACGAGTGTTTGAAACCATAATTATGCGCTATTTCACCCCAACCAGACTGGAAAACATTATAAAGTTTGAAAATACGGATGGTTGGCAAGGATAGCAAGAGACATTCTTGCTGTGTATTGGAAAGAGTGTAATTTAGCACCATTATCTCGGAGAGCAATTTGCCAATATCTAATAACTTTAAAGACATGCTCATCCTGTCACCCTGGCATCTCACCCACAGCCACCTGTGTTTCCTAAATGTTCCCACGTGTGCATACACACACAGCCATATTTCCATATTTCCAGCAGTGCACGTTGTAGCAATAAAGAAGGAAAGATAGCTCACGTGTCCACCAAAGGATTCACATCTATAATTTCCGCTTCCAGGAGGCTGAGACAAGAGGATTGTGAGTTCAAGGCCAGCCTGAGCTACATAGTGAGATCCTGTCTCATAAAAACAAACACACACACACACACACAAAAAAACACCTTAATGTTGAATTTAAAAAGCAATTTGCAAAAGTGTAGGTACTTGATGTGCGTGTTTATAGAATACCAAATACTTTTGAGTGTAGTTGCATACATGTAAGGAAAGCATAAAGTCCCTTTCAGGCAGGATATGGCATCAGCTCCAGTAGAATGGTCACTTGGACAAGAAAGTATGACAAACAGAATCAAGAAAATCTGAAAAGGAGATTCACCTGTGACAGCATTTCACTCTCTCCAAACAGATGTAGAGCAAAATGTGCATAAATATTACCATTCATTCTACTGAAGGGCTGAATATTTGAGCATTTTTCCCTGCGCTTTTTATTTTCTGAGTGTTAAACATACTTCATAGCAAGAAGGCTAGAGAGATGGCTCTGCAGTTGAGCGCACTAGCTGCTCTTCCAGAGGACCCCTGTTTGGTTCCCAACACTCATAAGGGGGCTCACAACCTTCTGTAACTCTAGTCCCAAGGTATCCAATGCCCTCTTCTGGCCTCCACGGGCATTGCACACAGATTGTACACAAATATACATGCAGGCAGGCAAAACACTGATGCACATGAAAAATTTTAAATTAATAACTTTATAAATAGTTTCATAGTAAAAGCAAAAAATGAGGAACAATGAGCCTTGAAGTCAAATAGTCCCAGGTTCTGATCTCCTCTAGCTCTTGAGAATTGTACCATACACAATGTTCTTAGTGTTTCTGGATCTGGGTATCCAATGTATGGGAAAGAAGTAATATTTAATTTGAAGGTCAACTCTAAATGTGATAGTATGTGGAAAACTCATGCATGATGTCTCAAAAAGATGCTAAAAATCATTCTCAACACCATAATCCAGTGTTTTCCACCCAGTAACAATTTCATCCCAGAGAGCGTTTGGCAGTATCTGGAGACGTGTTGAGCCAGTGCTTTTGAGGGACAGTCCCGGCACAGAGAAGAGAGAGGGCAGGGATACTGTTGAAGAGCCTACAATGTACAGACAGTCCCCATGATTATTTGTCCCCAAATCTCGACTATGTTCATACTGAGACCCCACCTATAGTTCTAGGCTACCCAGAACTGGACTCCAGCTTCCTGAGTCCCAAGTGAGTCTCCATGACTTTAGACCTTGACCCTGTTACAAAGGACTAGAGATGGGAACTTACCACCTTTTCTACCAATCTGCTTCATGGTGGGAAACTTAACATCTTGTAGAGCAGAACAACTACCTGGCACATATAAAGATTTAATTATATCTCAAAGAAATGAGTATCACTTGGGAGGCAGAGGCAGGTAGATCTCAAGGCCAGCCTGGTCTACAGAGCGAGTTCCAGGACAACCAGGGCTACACAGAGAAACCCTGTCTCGACAAATGAAAGAATAAATAAAAATAAATGAATGAGTCCTTCCAACAACCAGCCCATGAATGCAGCCTTGTAAATTATTAACCGGTTCCCTCGTGCTTTCTCTGACTCCTCACTCATTTGATGTGGTGGCTCTTTGTTTCTCTGTGTGTTATCTAAAGAGAATAATCTAGGAACAAAAGGCTCTCAGAGTCTCATATCAAAGATGCCCGTCTCTCACAATTCAGAATCCTATCCATGGATTAATCTTCACATAGTCATTGCCAAGAAATATCGTGGGGCTGGAGAGAGGCCTTAGCAGGTCAAGGTACTTGCGGCCAATCTAGTGGGCTGAGTTCAGTCCCTGGGACCCACACTGTGAAAGGAAGGAACCAGCTCCTTAAAGATTATCCTCTGACCTCCACACATGCACCATGGTGTATACACACACACACACACACCACACACACACACACACACACACACACACACACACACACACACACACACACTTAAATGTCAATTTTAAAAAATTTAAAGAAACACCTAGATATTTGGAGAGCCAGAGCTGTTTTCTAAATGGACAATGGCCACACGATGTGAAGTGAGTTGCTGACTTAGAGATGATGAGTGGAATTATGACTCTTTAAGCTGGCTGGCTTGCCGCGCAGTGTGTGGTCAGCATGCGTTGCTGATGTTGTTGTTTTCAATGAGGTTATTTTTATTGAAACTCTGTCTTTGCTTTTTCGTAGGCACCGGTTTGGTGACTCGGTCATCCTCCTGTGCAGAGGACCACACTAAGTCCCCGCTGTCATCCTTGGGGCGGATCTGAGGAAGGTGAGTGCAGCTGCTTTCACAACCTGATTTTTCTGAATATTTGGCTTGGCAACGTGGAAGTTCTCACTAGCTATTTCAAGGAATATCAAGGTGATGGCATGGTTATAATTACATTTCCAATATTATAATCATATTATAATGTAATGCAAATGCTTTCTAGTTTCTACTTATGTGAATGGACATACCAGACGTGAAGGACAAAAAAAAAAAAAAAACACCAAATGGAATCGTATAGTGAGTGCAAAGGACACTGTGATGAGTTACCCTAACTTTCTGTGTGTCATCAGCTTGGTGACCTTGTGACAATTTCTTGACCTCTCAATTCTTACACCTGTGAAATGAAACATTTGAAGGGAATTATTTTGAATGTGCTTCCTTGAACTTTAATGTGTTTCACTCTTGTGAGAATTGAAAAACACAGCAACGACTTCAGAAGCGTGATGGACAGCCCGGTGGGGGTGCTTCCATCGCTGGAGGGCTTGCTATAAAAGTCATTCCCCAACCCTTTTGCCACATCTCCCAAGTTGGGATCTGTGAGGTTCAAGAAGTCTGCCTTTCTGGCACACTTCCAGGTGGCTGAGCCATGCTATTGTGTAAGGGAAGCACTAACACATTGTTCTGTTTGCACTCGGAGCTGTGAGACACAATGAGCTGCGTGCGCACCATGCAGATGTGGTGAGCCAGGCTCCCCTTTGCATTTGTGGAAATAGAACTAGCAAGTTCAACATCTGATGATGACTTTACCCTTTGATCCTGGGCTCTGTACCATCCCTTTGGGTGTTATCTTCCACTCAACACTTCCTCTGCTAGGCCTGAGCGTCGAGAGCGCCTCTCTGGCTTTCTTCCCCTTGCCTGCTAATGAATGAGATTCCATTTCCTTTAGAAAGGACTATTGGAGAATGGCATCTCCTCCTATCTGGTACTCCAAATGTGAGCATATCAATGGATGCTGCTTCCTGAGATATCGCTGTCATCATCTTCTAACTTATGATCTGCTTTGAGGTCAGTCTTTGGCCACACCAAGTGGGGCTTTGCTCCCCAAGGGACCATCACTGTAATATGCCTAAAAGGATGTGTGTTCAGGTAAATGTGTATTTGTAGAACCAAGATGGGTTCCTAGAGAAAAGAGATGGCGTCAACAGATCTCCAAATCAGACTGCAACAGGCCATAGTTTCAGCTCTAGACAGAGGATCGGAAAACCACCCAGGCCATACCACAGTCCATTTCTGCTGCCAATACAGGATTATGTGGCATTGCAAACATTCCACATTGTGTGCCTTGAGGAATCACAAGGACCCCTAAAGAGACTCACATCTTAGAGGGAAACTAAATCCTGGCTTTGAAATACAAACACTGTCTCCCAGTGCTGCGTACAGGGGCTCCCCACCAGGATCAGTCTAATTGCTCAGTGGGGTGACAGCTGCTCTTCTCCAGGGCTTCAGCAGATATGATTTTCTGGCATGAAATAAAGGGAAATGGAGCCTTAAGAATATAGTGTCACTGTTGTCTACTGTGGATTGAATATAAAACTCTTCTCCCAAATCACAGGCAAGGCGTTGTGGGTGATCTGTCAGGTAAAATACTAACAAGTGCCCATTCATGAGAGAGCCACTCACCCATAAAGAACATTCCAGACGACACCCACTGCTGGCTGGGGTGGATGTGGCTTTATTTGATTTGGGGTTGATTTATTTGTTTGCCTGGCTTCTAGAACAGCATAACTTGGATTTAATGTCTCGAATACTGAATCCAATACTTCTAGGTTCACTGACTTGTTATTATTTAGCATTTATGAAGTATATGTCAATGCACTTAGCACTTTACAATGACTCATAAAAAGGTCTGATCCTGGCCATTGAGCAGAAGGTTGCTATCAGTTGAAATGCTGCCAACGTGGAAATGTTCCTAGGACAGATCTGTATACCTTTTTCCCCACCCCCAAACAACCTGTCCCAGTTGCTGAATGCATCTGAGTCCAACAATGTTTATTTCAATGCAATAGCTTCAGTGTGGAGCTCCTGACACTTAAGAAAAGCTGAGAAAGAATGGGTGAATGGATAGATAAATGGATGTATGTGTGGATGCATGGATGCATGACTGCATGCATGGATTCATGGATGAAAGGGTGCATGGATGGATGGATGGATGGATGGATGGATGGATAGATGGATTGATAGATGAATGGATGAGTGTGCATATGCATGAATTCATGGGTTCATGGGTGGAAAGGTTCATAGATGGATGGATGGATGGATGGATGGATGGATGGATTGATGGATGGATGGATGGCTTTTTCCTAAATGGATATCTTCCACTGTCCACCTGTCTCTCTGCCTAAAGCTTTATGTAAGCATTCTCCATACCTTTAGCTTATAGAGCTGACTGACATGGAAATAAACTGTTACTTTAGTGGCTTTTATGTGATCAGTAACTATGGGTAGCCAGAGACATGAGAACTTGATTGCATAAAATCATATAAATTGGCAACAGTATTATGTCAATGCCATTGTCTTGGTTTTAATGTCATAATAAGATTGTATAAGATGTTACCATTGGAGGAAACTGGGTAAAGGACCTGGGGCATTATTATCTTTGCTTACTGTGAATCTGTAGTTATTTCAAAAAAGAATTGTATTAGCTTCACATATCTGTAGTCCTACCTCAATGTGTACACATTCCAGTCACCAGCCTCTCTACTAATAAGAGCAATAATTCAAGACTCCACCAAAGCAGACCCAGAACAGACTTAGATCTTCAAGGGCTTCACTGGGGGAAATGCCTGTGAAGTATAAAGTAGCAGGAATAAAGTCTCGTGTCCTTAGACCCTTCAAATGTCTAGGCAGTTCCTGTACCTGTGAAATGGGAACAGGAAAGGAGAGCTGGACAGGAAGAGCTCAGGCCATGAGCCCTTTAGAAGAATATTTCAGCCAAGCCACTGAGAAGACCCTGAACAAATGTTGTGTTGTGTGGTAGGGAAGCACCAGTGTAGGAAGTGAGAACCCCACAGCTTGGTCATTGTCTGAACACGGTAGCCTAGAACAAATATTATATGTGTTCAAAGGTGCAGACACAATTGGAGACTGGTGATTAGCTGTTTCCAGGGTGCATTTTGTTTGTCATATTTGGTGTTTTGTGGCAGAGTTTTCTTCTGTAGCCTTACAACTCTCCAGACTGGCCTGGAACTTATAATCCTCCTGCCTCTGCCTCTCCAGTGCTAGAAAACAGACAAGTATCACCAGGTCTGGCCAGAACCTGTTATCTTTCGAGGAAGCTCTGAGCAGGACTCCTCTCAGCGACCCTGACTTTGACGTGTTTGTCATCATAACCCACTGCATACACCTTCTAGTCATCCGCCTCTGCTCTAACAGCAGTCCCTCTCCTGGCCACATATTCTAACTCCGACCTTCTGTTTCATGTATGTATGTGAAATGTATCCATCCATGTATATATGTGTGTATGTGTAAAATATATGCATGTATGTGCGTGCCCTGCCCACCCAGTACAGCATCAACTCCTGGAGACAAGCCAACCGATCTGCTCTATCTGTGTGCCATCCATCTCAGTCGGCCTCCCTACTGCTTGGTAGACTTTGCTTTCTGTCTCCTAATTCCATGGCTGGTGTTTATTACTGCCTTCTTCCTTCCTAGAGCTTCTCTGCTGCCCACACCCCCGCTGTTTTCTGGGGGTGGCCTTCCCTCATAAGTCATTATGCATTCCTTGTCTCTCCTCCACGTCTGCATGCTTCCTCATCTGCTCCTTCCTTGAGTGCTAAAGAAAGCTTTACAAGGCTTATCCCTCCTTGGGCCCTCAGAGCCCTCTGCCCAGCTGAGTCGGTCAGATACTGTTTTGCCTCTAATGCATCGTCTCCCTCTTAGTCTGTGACCATTGGTTCCTTTATCCAAAATAAGCTCTCTCTGGATCCTTCTACCATGTGAGCTCGTCTCAAATCTATCTCCTGTCACCGTCATCCATTGACATTTCATGCTTGCTCACCCAACGTCCTTTACCGCTCTTCCTCCTCCACGCTCCTTAAGCAACTTCCTCATGGGTGCCTGTGGCGGGGCCTCTCCTTAGAGCTCACCTTCCCTGACCTTCCATTCTATGTGTCAGCTCCCTCAGCCTCCAAATGCATCCTCCATTTCTCCCAGGGCACACAGCTCTCAGTTCTCCTCTTGTCTACAGCCCTGTCTCTTTGGACTTCTCTCCTTTTTGTCTGTCTGTCTGTCTGTCTGTCTGTCTTTATCATTCTTGATTTGCCTCTGCCCTCTCTGCCTTCAAATCTTCATGTGCCTGAGGTCTTAACCCTCCTGGCCCTGCAGGGATTGTAAGTCCCAACTCTCACTTCCCATTTCAGTCTGTAGACAAAGTTCTCATGCATTCTGTGAGCATTTCACCCTCTGTGTCCATCCATGTTCCCCACCCCCATATTCTCTTATCCTTGAAGCTTTCCTGTCATTCTTCAGCAGAAGCTAACTCATTCTATCGGTCATATAGGTTGGACTCTGGCAGTCAAGTTGAAACAGGGCTGGACTGTGCAGCCCATTCTGGTCTGGGGCTCACCACATAGTCCACCGTGAGCCTCCCACTCACGGCCATCCTCCTGCCTCTGACTCCCAAGTACTAAGATTACAAGCATAAGCCAACACTCCCAGCTTCAACTTGACTTTAGTAGACATTGTCCTGGCCACTCTTCCCCTCCAGTGTCTGTCCCCAGAGTCACTCCTCCAGCTCTAGCCTCACCATCTGCCCTGTGGTCCCTTGGGATGTCTCTCAGCTGGACTCTCTACCCTACTTCTCTTCTCCCAGTCTAACATATTCACTGGTGGCAATTTCATTTTGCCGGAGTTCTCATCATGTCTCTTTTAATGCTGAAAACTTGGGAAGGGGCTTCACAGCGTTACAACTCTTCCTGCCCAGCAGCTAAAAAGGATTGCCTCGGCTCAGCTAAACAGGTCTTCTTCTAAATACTTCCTTTCTTTTCTCAGTTAGTACTGAGAGGCTCATTCTCCCAGCTCCCTCCCCACCATCACTGGCCCACAAAAAAAGAAAGATGGAATTGGGGGTGCATCACTCTTATTACTAGTCCATGCCTATGTGTTTTTACTGGGGTGAACTATCTTCCCACGGGTGTAGAGCATCCTGTTGGGTTCTTCTCTGAAGCATAGCCATAGTGAGGTGACTGAGAACAAGACTAGATTTACCTGCTGGGTTCCAAGGCAGTTAGGAAATGGGGGGATGTCTCAGGGTCCCAATATACTCTTCAAGGACATCCCCTCCCACCCACTACTTCCCACAAGGCCACATCCCTGAAGTTGTCACCATTTCCTAACAGTGCCATCAGCTACAGTCCAGGTCTTCAATACATGGGATCAGAGAGGCAATGTCTAAGTGCTCACCGTTAGATGTCATCATTGTTTGGTCATGCATGACATGTGACATTATTGAGCATCATAGTTATCCACTGATTGGCAGGGAGACTAACTTGGGAATTCCACACAACCAATGAATTAACATCCTAAGTACTTCCTCTAAGACTTTAGGTACTTAAAACTATTACAATGAATAATATTGTAGTATACAAATTTTACAATAAAGAATATGTACCCATATCAAAAGACCTGGATGGTTAGAATGAGTAACTGTGTAATAATATTTTAAATTATTTAATTTTTGAAATTATATAATTTCTCCCTTCCTTTTCCTGCCTCCAGTTCCTCCTATCTACCCCCACTTTGTTTTCTCTCAAACTCATGGTCTCTTTTTCATTCATTGTTACATGCATATGTGTGTGCATGTGTATGTATACATACATACATACATACATACATACATACATACATACATATATTCCTGAATATTTAAGTCCAACCTGTTCAGTTTATATAGTGTTACTTGTATGTGTGTTTTCAAGGCTGACTATTGGGTATTGGACAACCAATTGGTGTACTCTTCCCTGAGGAGGACTATCTCTCCCACTCTCAACATTCTGTAGTTGCCTGTGGTTCTTTGTGTAGCGTTGAGGCCTCCAAGACTTGCCCTCTCCCGTCCACATTAGCATGTGTGTTGTCCTTGTTCATCTATTTTGTCAGTCATGTTGGTAAAACTTTATGGGTGTGGCTTCTGACATTCCTAGGACACAATCTTTCCACCTCCTCTTCTGCAATGATCCCTGGGCCTTGGGTGAAGGAGTTATATTGTAGATGTATCTGTTGGGAATGGGTTCCACCACTCAGTGTTTTGGTTGGCGGTGGTTATTTAAATTAAGAAATGTTCTATTGTGTAATAGACATGCTTATGTCAACATGCTGCTCATTGAGCACCTACTGTGTACAAGTCACTTGCTTGGTATTCCACATCTGATATCTAGCTATGCTAGTGAGTATATATATATATATATATATATATATATATATGTACTTGATACATCATTACTAATATACCAATGTACATTAACTGGTAACCGCCTGTCTGTGCATTATGACAGATGTGGGGAAAGTGCCCTTATCTTCATTGAAGGAAAATAGAAATGAAGACGCTGTCTCAAGGTTGATTAAAAAAAAGGACCATGTAGAGACAGGGAAATGGCTTGGTCAGTACAGTGCTTGCCAAACAGGCCTGAACACTTCAGCTGGATCCCCAGCATCCACATCGTAAACCCAGTCTGGCAGTGTGCATCTGTAATCCCAGCACTGGGGGTGGTATGGGGAGAGGAGGATCCAATAAGGTTGCTGACCAGCCAGTCTAGACCAATCAGTGAGCTCCAAGTCCATTAAGAGACCTGTCTCAAACAATAAGGTAGAAGGAAGGGTATTGCCGGGCGATGGTGGCGCACGCCTTTAATCCCAGCACTTGGGAGGCAGAGGCAGGAGGATCTCTGTGAGTTCGAGGCCAGCCTGGTCTACAAAGTGAGTTCCAGGAAAGGCGCAAAACTACAGAGAAACCCTGTCTCAAAAAAAAACCAACAAAAAAAAAAAAAAAGGAAGGGTAGGGAGATAGTTCGGCAGGTGAGGACACCTGCTGATCTTCCAGAGGACCTAAGTTAAGTCCCCAGCACTCCCATCAGGTGATTCATAACCACCTGTAACTCTAGGTCCAAGGGATCCAACACCCTCTTTTGGCCTCTCCAGGCATCCACACTCATGTGGTAGACACACACACACACACACACACACACACACACACACACACACACACACACATACATACACACACACACACACCACCTTCTGCTTTAGACAATGTCAGCACTGAACTCTGAGCCAACTCAGCCCAGCACAGTGTAAGGTTTGCACCCATGCTCACAACTGTTACACTGTAATATCTGCCACATCCGTGTCAAAACAGCCTCTAGCTGTGGTTTGAATATGAGCGCTGGCCACTACGTTTCTGAGCAGCATGCCTGTTCAAGTCTCCCTCCAGTTTTTCTAATGGATGATCTGTCTTTTTCTTTCTTATAGGTCAATTTGACTTATTGAAAAGGCTTTTTCAATAAGTAATTTTAGAATTTTCAGCAATTAATTTTAAAACCTGAGGAAATATTAGCATAGTTGAGCAAGATCACCATGAGTAGCAGCAAAAACAAAGTGCAGAGGGTCAGAGAAGATGCTTTGGGTGGCCTTTTTCATGCTGATATCTTCAAAAACAATTGAGACTTTTGCTCCATACAACTCACTAATGGAAGAGGCCGAATCCTATAGGAGAAATCCGGCGTTCCTCCTGCAGTCCCCGAAAGTGTGAGTACAAGGCAAGGCCACCTTTAAATGGCAATAATACCACTGAAATAGATCATTCAAGGGAAGGAGACATATTATTAAGGGCAACACCACCATTGACACTTGTTAGCTTGTCTCTGAACCAACACTACAGAGCAGCAAAGCTTAAAATGAATGAAATGGTATCCATTCTCCAGCTAATGAAAATGCTTTGGGCTCCAGGCCAGAGAATAGATTTGGATCATAGATGGAGCTCTTTTTCCAGGGCTTTAAATTTGAATGACTAGAATTATTTTTAAAGTACCATCCTACTCAGTCTTTTGGAATAAAAACATGGTTTTCAATTTCAAAAGAAAAAAAAAATCTCCATTCACCATAAAGATGGAATGCACCAGCTTGGACCAGCCTCATTCATGGGTTCAGTAAAACAGATAGCACACTCCAGTGCAGATGGGTTATGTAGTGGAGATACCTCTTGTAGCACCTTCCTTGCCCCACAGTCCACACATGCATACACTCCATGTGCATGCTCATATGCCTGCACAGTGCATGTGTATATAGATGCAGGCACACAAAGAGAGATACATTGTCTATATAATGTGCATGCAAGCATACACCAAATGCGTGCATATATAAGCAGGCTATATGCCCATACATATGCAGAGGAACACATAGACACATGTATACACTCACACACATACTGATGTTTTGTGTCTATGAAGCTTAAAAAAAAATACGCACATCTGACATGGAATAGAAAGAGTCCGTCCGTCTTCCCTCTACAGACATCATGTACATGTTATATAATTACTACACATAATGTATAACAAGTTCCTACAATAACAGATATTACACATATTTTTGTATGGACTTCTAAAACACCCTGCTTTTCAACCAGTCTAGAACAACTAAGGCATTTTAGAATTGCTAGTTTGTGTAGTTTTTTTTTTTCCGGCTCAGAATAGCATATAAGAAATATCACCTTAATTCAACACAGTAAGTATCTCATCACCATTGTGTGGCATTTAATTGTCTAGGAACTGAAGTCAGTTGCAAGATTTAAGAGTAAAAAAGAAAACCTCAATTTATTGCTTATTTTAAGAATGTCACATTTAAATGAATAGACTTTCTTTGAGACACAAGTATTTAGAAGGAAAACACGTAGTAGAAAGGTGTTCTCGCCTTTCTGATAAATGAGGTGGCGTTAACAGGAAATATACGTTAATTGAGACATCCTTTCATCTGGGATGAAGCCCCCTTCCAAATGAGATATGGTGAAGTTGTAGCCAAATCCTGGTCCACCCAGTGCCTTAGACCTCAGTGGGTGTCAACCTGCATCCTGGATTCATAGTCCATCACTTGCCGACTTCTTGTCTTGATCTCTGTGTTCCCAGCTCTAAATTCACTTGAAGAGGTCCTGTCTGGGAACAGAGATAGTAAAGAGCTGTGGCTGAGGCTGTTAGCCAAGGCGTGTTCCTCCAGGCACCTGGCCAGGAGGCGGCAGCCAGACAGCAGCAGTCTCCAAGTGCTGAATACCAACAGGACTCAAAGGAACTCCTAGCAGATCCTCCCACAGCTTCTCAGCCATGCCCAGGGGAGCCTTGAGGGTGCTGCTGGTGAATGTTCAAGCTCTCCTGGTGTGGCATGCAACACTTCCCAGACTTCTGTGGGTGCCTGCCGCACTTGCGTTCCACTTGTGAGCTCACAGTCTCGTGGACTCTTTAAAGAAATAAGTGTGAGTTTCCAGAAACAGACCGGCAGACCCTCCTCTGCCAGCTGCATTAGAGTAACACTGCATCTACCCATTCCCCACAGGGAACAGAATAGCCAAGGAAGCCTCTGTGACTGTCCCATGCCAACTAAGATGGAAGAGCCCACATCCTGTTCCACGGCCTTTCTTTCCATGAAGAGCAGCTTTCCGCCACGCAGTGAATCTTCCAGGGCCTCCAGCCATCAGCACTCCTCAGACTTTGGTGCTTAAGGGGAGCCTCAGAGTCTGGAGAGATGGCTTGGTGAATACAGCACCCTCTGTAAAAACGTGAAGGCCTGAGTTCAAATCCCAACATCCTTGTAAAACCCAGACATCCCAAACATCTGTAGCCCAGCCCTGGAGAAGCAGAGACAGGCAGATCCTGGGACTTGTTGGCCAGCCAAGCTACTCAGATCGCCAAGCTCCAGATTTAGTGAGGGATCCTATCTCAAAGAATACGATAAAGAGATATTAAGGATATTTAATGTCAACCTCTGGCCTCTACATGCATGTACATGAATGCCTCTACATGCATGAACATGAATGTACATATGTATCTGCATACACACACACACACACACACACACACACACACACACACACAAAATGGACTTTCTGAAGCCTCTGGACTTCTATGCTGTGACTTAATTGACTATTTTTCTGACAACTTAGAGCATTTTAGTGCTATTACTAATATTGACTCCATAAGTCATTGCTGAATAGCTGAGTTTTGAGGTGAATGAGGTTACTTTGTAAATCCAAATTAAGCCACTAAGCAGGCCAGACGGACAAAAGCCCAAAGTGTTGGATGTTCCGCTGGGGTACTTTTCTATATATTCATTATAATCACCGAAGCAAAAACCTAATGGAAGCTCTTCATAATTTAGCATCTGCCATCAGATGGGAATATCAATTCCATCTACCAAAGAGAGGATTACAGGCAGGTTCAATATAAAATGCAAATGTAGCAGCTTGGTGAGCTGCGTGTGTCAGCCACACTTCACCCGAGTCTATTAGCCTGGGAGCTTAAAGACAGCCAACGTTCTGCTGGAGTTGCTTCTCCCATGAGCCTCTGTGGGTTCAGCGGACATGTGTAGAATGAGGACATTCACTGATGGCTGAGGGATAGAGAGAGCAGGACACAGCAATGGAGGCATGGGAAGATCTGCCTGTATTCTCGCAAAGACTGTCATTGGCTCAATATGAGCTGTTTCCAACAAAGTTTACCTCTTCTGTAATGAAAGCGAAGGTTCGCCCGTCCTTCTGGTCCAGGCTAACCATTTCCAAATCCTTTTATTTTGTTGTATAATCCACCTCAGCTGAACGGAGGGAAGTCGACCAGTCTGAGCCATGGCATTGGCTCAACCTTGGTGGTTCTATAGCTCCACGCAGCACTCAGCTTCCTTTGTTGGCCCTCACCTTGGTAGATCGTCTCTCATTGGTGTATGCCTCAGACTCTGACCTCTGCTTTGCCATTATAACTCATTACACTATCACAGTTTTGCCAATACCACTGCCCTCCTAGGTAGAACTTTTTGCCTGAATGCCATGTGATCTATCTTCCCATGGTACCACCCACTTCTTCCAGCATCTTCTCCACAACTCACAGCTAACAGCAAAGCCTCAGGCACTGTGGAACTGTCCTCTTTAAGCCTTTACTCCACCACCTAAGATGTGCCTGTTAGACATTAACCAGCCCTGTGCCGCTGATCTATTACTGCATGACCACTTCCAAGCTCTGGGGCTTATATATCCAGTGGCATCTCTCTTTTCCAAGGGAGTATCTTGCAAATTGCTACACAGAATGACAGAAATAAGCAGTCCCTTTCAAAAGAGCACTCCTAAATCTGGACATGGCGATGCATCCTGTAATCCCAGCACTCTGGAGACGGAAGCAGGAGGATATCGAATTTGAAGTGAGACTGACAAATTAGACAGACCCTGTGTGATAAAAAACGAGAGGAAAAGGAAGAGGGTTGAAAAGGAAAACAAAAGGAAAAAGGGAGGGGCATGCAGGCCGGAGGAGACCATTGCATGTCACCCGTTGAGCTCCAGAATAGGAAAGGAAAGAAGAAGTGAAGAGAACAGAGGAAGAGAGGGAGTGGAGGGAAACAGTATTAGTGAATTTCTGAGCAGCTGCTTGCTACATGAAATGTACGGAAAGATATGACTCAAAGAGCCTATGATTTACCTCAAAAGAATACCTTGTAAGGCAAATATTTATACTCTTACTTACATAGCAGGACACAGAAATTTTACTGAGGTCATCTTTGAATCCTTGATGCTGAGGGACAGGATAGCAGTAGGCGGCTTCTTCCGGCTGCCAATGGGATGTATGTGGTCATCACCCAGACTTGGTATCTCATCACAGCGAACCAGTTTTGTATCTCTGAAAAGGTGTGAAAAATACACTATCCATCCCCAACTCCAGACAACTTTTAGTCTAGTAAGTAGTAAGGCTTCTAAGAAAGCCGATTTGGTCCTGGCGAGGTGGCTCGGTGGGTAAGAGCACTTGCTATACAAGCATGAAGACCTGAGTTCAGATCCCCAGGATCCAAATAAAAAGCCAGGTGTGGCTGCATGAGCCTGTCACCCCACTGCAAGAGTGACCCAGAGACAGGAGGGCCCATGGGGTTTGCTAGCCACCAGCCTTACCAAAAAAACACTGAGCACTTCATCCAGGGAGAGACCTCGTCTCGAGGCACTAAAGCAGAACACAACAGCAGACACCCAATGTCCTCCTCTGAGCCCTGCACACGCACACCGACACACACGCACATGGACACACACGCCTGCACACCCACATGCACACACATCACGCACACCGACACACACGCACATGGACACACACGCCTGCACACCCACATGCACACACATGCATACACTACACACCGAAAATATAGCAGAAGATTTATAGAAATTACGTAACGAACTTCGAAGTCAGGGCTGTTCTGTGAGCCAGGTCATCATAGTCTACTTGAAAAGAAAAGACAAGAAAAGCTTCCATTTTTGTCTGCATATTTGGGTCGTGCGGTCATCCTCATTTATCGTGGATTCTGTGTTGGTGAGTGTGCACATCCACTGAAATTCTGTTGTGACTCCGAAGTCAGAATGTATGGCACTTACATGGTTATTCACGGACATGGGAAGAGAGGTGACAAGTTCCCAGCCAAGCAAGGTGACTCCATATGACTGATTCATTTCTCATTCTGTAAACAAGGCTCTTTCCCTGGGTGGGGCTCCATTTTTCACATTGTCTATTTTAGGTTGGTGACATCACTGCTGAGGTGATGTCACTGTTAAGATGCCCCCAAGCATAGCACCCAAATACTAGCTAGCATGCCCAAGAAAAATCCCTATAAGAGCCTCCCTCGGGCCTGAGTCACAGTGCTGGTGGCTAAGTTCATTGCTCATGAAGTGATGGTCATGTTCAATAAGGTGTCCTTAGACACATGTTTGGCAAAAGTACAGTGGCCAGAGGCTTGCAGGACCCTAAGAGTAACCAAGAGCAATTTATTGCCCCCAATTCAGCATCAGCAGTGACTTCATAAACCAAAACAACAGCAAATAATAAGAATCACTGTGTTGCCGGGCAGTGGTGGCACACGCCTTTGATCCCAGCACTTGGGAGGCAGAGCCAGGCGGATCTCTGTGAGTTTGAGGCCAGCCTGGGCTACAGAGTGAGTTCCAGGAAAGGCGCACAGCTACACAGAGAAGCCCTGTCTTGAAAAAAAAATAAAAAAAATCAGTGTATTTAGGGAGTCCTAATAATGGCAGTGAGGTGTGGTACCAATGATGTCATGCCGTTTTCTCTTCTAGTTTAGTATTTTTGGAACGTCATGCGTGATACAATGTGTCTTGATTGCGTCCACTCCTTCCTGCCCCCCACAACTGCACTCATCTCTTCTCAAATCCATACCCTTTTCTAATATGTGAAAGTGTGTGTATCTCCTACTGGATCCGGTTAATCTTGCCCCTCCCTGTGCACAAGGAAGTAGTGTTGGCCACTGGGGGGGGGGGGTTGTCCCTGGAGCCCCGGAGAACACTGATCTCCCTTGCTTAGCAGCCTTAGACTGCCCATAGCTCCTCACATATGGGTGTGGCCTTGTGAGCCTGTCCCTCATACTATTTTCCGCTTCATGGACGATGAGATCTTCCAGAGTCATCTGTCTGTCTTCATGTTAGCACGGGTGGACCTCCTCACTGTTCAGATCTACCCAGTACTGAGCCCCACCCCTTGCATCTGCTCTGGGAGACAGGCAAAGAAGCAGTCCTTGACCTCAGACACTCCTACCCTTATTGACATGACCAGACTTAGGGTGACAGACAAAAGAGAAGTGGAAACCTAAGGAGCAGGGTGAACCAGCTCCCTGAGGCACCGCTCGAGGGAAGCGGGGCAGTTTTCTAGTGGTGACCTCGAACGGTTAATTTCATGTTTCCTCCCAGGAACTCTGCAGAGAAAGTGCGCCTGTAGCCGGCCCTTCTAATTAACTCTAAAGTTCCTACTACATCAGCCAACACCTGGAGACCACCCTCAAGCTTGCCTCTCTCCTGACTAGAGTCAAAAACCTGATGTAGGTGAAAACAGCACCATAGGAAATCCCTCTTTGTCTATCGGAAATGATGGCCGTGTTTCCCTCGGCCTGATGACACTGGAGACCTTGTAACCCTACAGCTGAAGAAACAGAAGTTATGGCATTCAAACTCGAAACAGTAATGTTGTTTTACGAAGCTCCTAGTCTGTGCCAAGGTGCTGGGAACACAGAGGTAAATGTGAAGTCTCCGCCTGTATGTATCTCATGATCCAATAGGAAAACTTGGTCACTGTAAACACGGGACAAATGCTACAGACGAGGGCGGTACAGGTGGGGCTGGTGGGCACACACAGTCTGGGTGGAGGCTTGTGCTTCTTGATGGAGTGGAGTCTTGAAGGGGGAGAAATCCGGCAAATGAAGGAAGTAGGGGGTGACCGTGGAGTTGTAGGGGTCAACATCCTAGTATAAAGAAGCACTCCCTCGTGACGTGCTAGAGGTTAACACCCTAGTATAAAGAGGGAGAGACATGAAAGGGTTAAGGAGCACAGGGTGCAAACTAGGGGACTTATAAGAGAGAAGGCAAGTGGGAAGTGATGCCTGGCTCATGAGTAACCTTGAAAGCCAAGTAGGAAGAAGCATCCTCTGAAGGACGCCATAGAGGCCATCAAAACTATCACCTCTGCACTCCCTGTGGCGGCTCAATTAAAGTGGCACAGAGAATGCATCATGGGCCGGGCACATCTGAGGGTGAAGAGAGCAGTCTAGCTCTTGGGAAAACCACTAAGGAAATAACCCAAGAAAAGAGAAATGAGAACACAGCAAAAGGCCACCCAGAGAGGAAAGCGCTAGCCAGCTGCCTGGGGTCGCCTTACATTGCGCAGAGCAAGCTGTATACGCCTGAGAACAGAAGAACGCAGGCCTGTTCCGGGGCAGTCATATCGAAGAGAGTAAAAAAGGGATGAGGTGCCCAGAAGTGAAACAAGAGATAGAACAGTGGCAGATATAACAGGAGGGAGGCAGAATCCCATGACGGTGGGAAGGGAAGGAAGCACAGTGTAATCGACCATGAGTGGCCAGGAGTGTTGGTGAGGAAGTAGACAGAAGTGAGGAGGTAAATGATATGCAGGAGTCTGTGTCCCAACTACATCAGAGGCTGAGACAGGACCACCTGGGCTACAGAATGAGTTCAAGGCCAGCCTGGGCAACTTAGCAAGACCTTGTCTCAAAATAAAGTGTAAAGGGAGCTGGCAGGATGTCTCAGCAGGTAATGACGCTTGTCTGCAAGCTTGACCACCTGGGTTCAATCCCTGGAACCCACGTGGTGGAAAGAGAGAACCAGCTCCTGCAGGCTCTCTTCTGACACCCTCACACGCACCTTCACAAACATGTGCACACACGGAATAAACAAATGTAAAAGCTGTTTAAATTAATAAGATATACAAAGAGAGCTGCATGGCATAGCTCAGGACTGAATGCCTGCCTGGCATATACAAGCATTCCCCAGCTCATTTCCCAGCACCTGCCTCCCCCTCAAGAAGCAAATGTAGAACACCTGGTGTTTAAACTTGACTTTCAAAGGAAGGAAGGATGTCAGTGCTAATGTTGGAGAATGGAAGGCTAGTGGGTGGCGTGCCGTAGCCACTGTAGTGTAGCTTTGGTTGCTTATGGCTAACAGGACACAGGGAACATGGTACAAACAACACAGCCCACACAATGCAAGCCTCAGAATGAGAAAAGTAGATGAGCTTTTGGTCAGGAGTTCAAAAGAGGGTGTCTTTAACACAATCTTCCAGAGAGTAATCACGTCGGAGTCCGACCCTGATGCCCCGTGATGGCTTCTCTGTAGCTTTCCCCTTAGGCAAGTTCTGTCTTAGAGTGTGCCATCTGCAAAATAAGCCATGTAATAGCTAGTCACGCATGTTGTCGCGGGCTGCAGTGAGAAGCAAGAGAATATGTGTGAAGAGCACTTTGAAGATGGAAAGCCTCATACGATTGTGAGATGTCACCATGTGAGAACAGGGTCCTTCTCTCTGCCCTTTGCCATTTGCTGAAGGGCCTTTTTCTGTGGCTATTACTTCAAGCACCAGGGAAGCTTCCTTACAAACTGCAGGCGGGCCCTCTCTCTTCTGGAAATGTTCATCTGTTTAGTTACTATCCCCCTAACTGATCAAGAAGGACAGTCTACAGACACATTAGACATTTTAAAAGAGAAAAAAAGGAAGGGAGGGAGGGAGGGAGGGAGAGAGGAAGGAAGGAAGGAAGGAAGGAAGGGAGGGAGGGAGGGAGGGAGGGAGGAAGGAAGGAAGGAAGATGTTGTGGTTAATGAGCTGGCTCATTTAGTAAAGTACTTGACATCCACAAACAAGGACTTGAGTTTAGATCCCCAGTATCCACCTAAAAACCCAATACAAAGCACATGTCTGCAACCCTGGTGCCTGGAAAGGTAGAGACAGGTAAATTCCTGGGCCTTGCTGGCCAGTCAGTCTAGCCAATCAGTGAGCTCCAGGCTCAGAGAGAGACCCTGACTGGAAATGAAAGTGAAAGGGCAGACCGACATCACCCAACATCAACCTCTGGCCTCCACATGCGCGCACACACACACACACACACACACACACACACACACACACACCCATGCACATACCTGCAGCTGCATGCACGCATGCATACACAAATACATACACTGCACACATATACACCACACACACACACACACCCATGCGCATACCTGCAGCTGCATGCACACATGCATACACAAAGACATACACTGCACACATATACACCACATACACACACACACACACACCCCAAACTGAAAAGAGAAGAAGAAAGTTAAGGTACTCCTAATCATAAATAACTTTTAAAAGTACTAGAGAAGTATTGTGGTTTATGCCTAGAATTCCAGCACTTAGGAGATTGAGGTAGGAAGATCTCAAAGTGAAGGCCAGCCTGGGCTACATGATACAAATTATTTCTATATATTTAATCTTCCAAGTTAGGAAGTGAGGAAAGAAATGTTTGTGAAGGCCACTGGCTCAGAGAAAGCTGCCATCAGAGCGTGACTGCTTCGACGGCATTGCCACAGAGCAAGCACACCGTGTTTATTCATTTCCTTCCCCTTTATTGCTTCTACTTAGCCCTTTCCTCCTAACCCAACAGAGCAAGTGTTTCCATGATGTTTGCCGTGTTGTGCTTAATGTATTTCCAATCACTAAAACATAAAATGACCCATGCTAGGTATTCTAGACTAAAACAAGGGCTACAAACTGGGCGGGCCTTTAATCTCAACACTCTGTGAATTCAAGGTCAGCCTGCTCTGCATTGTGAGCTCCAGGCCAATCATGTCTATGTAGTGAAACCTTGTCTCAAAAAACAAAAGAAAAACAAATGAAATAGCTTCAAAGTGGCAGAATGTTTGTTGTTAAAACTGTTGTGCCTGGCGGCGGTGGTAGCCCACGCCTTTAATCCCGGCACTTGGGAGGCAGAGCCAGGTGGATCGCTGTGAGTTCAAGGTCAACAGGGTCTACAGAGTGAGATCCAAGACAGGCACCAAAACTACACAGAGAAACCCTGTCTCAAAAAAAAAAAAAAAAAAAAGATTAAAAAAAAAAACAGTTGCAAGTGTGAGTTCTTCAAGACACAGGTAGGGTTTGGGTGTTTGTTTTGTTTTGTTTGTTTGTTTTTAGTTATCGTAAAGATTTATATTTTTATTTTATATACATGTGCTGCCTGAATGTATGCTTGGTGCCCACAAAAGCCAGAGGCGGCCTTAGATCCCCTGGAACTGGAGTCACAAATGATTGTGAGCCACCATGTGGGTGCTGGGAATCAAATCCGGTCCTCTGCTAAAGGAACAAGTGTTCTTAACCATGGAGCCATCTCTCTAGCCCCTAGATTTTTAAATTGGTGTATTTGGGGATGTGAATGTGTCTCAGTGGTAATAGCTTGCCTGTCATGTATGAGGCCCTAGAGTCAATCCCCAATAAGGTATTTTTTTTAAGTTAAAATGAATGTATTTTCTATTTAAACACACCAATTCTAGCACCTGTTTGAACACCGTGGAAAGTCAGGAAGCAGGGGGCGGGGCTTTTCTTTTCACAAATGCCAGATAATTAGGAATAAAGGCTCTCTCTGCTCTCTAGGTCACCCCCAGCCCTTCTCCTGTGTATTGTCTCTTGAAACTGGGCCACTGATCCTTGAGCAGTTCAGAATGTCTGAGCCCACTTTAAAAGCAAACCAGTAAAGGAACAATGCAACAGACAAAAATAAAAATTAAAATAAAGAAGGTGCCAAGCTTGTTGGCATAGACCTGCAATCACAACTACTCAGGAGTCTAAGGCAGGAAGATCCCAAGTTCAAAGCCTACCTGTGCTATAGGGTGAATTCAAAGAACCCTGAGTAACTTGTTAAGACTTTGTCTCAGATTTAAAAGAAAAAGTAAAAAGAGGGTGTGGGATATAATTCAATGGTAGAGTTCTTATCTAGTGCATCCAAGACCCACGGTTTAGTTTTACTATCACCCAAAAAAAGGCAGGTGGGGGGGGAAGGAAGCAGAAGAAATTCTAACACCTGTTGGAATAAAGAGAATAGAAAGAAAAAGAAACTCCATTTCAACAGCCCAGTACTTTGGGTGGCCTGGCCAGCTCTTCCCCGGCATTCTGCTTACCGTAGTGATGGACCCCTTAGCTGCATGTCAGAGCATTACTCTTCATTGCTTCCTTGTATTACAGAGATCAAAATAAAAGCAACTGCTTTTGCCGAAGACCCAATGCATAGCAAAAATAAATAAATAAAATAAAATAAAATAAAGTTTTTACTTCAAAAGTAGACGCAAGAAGCATTGGGGATATGGATCAACAGGAAGGCTTTGCCTACTCAAAGCCCTAGTTTGTATCCCCAGTGCTTAATAAAACTGGTCATGTTGGGGCACACCTGTAATCCCTGCACTTGGGTGGTGGAGACAGGGATATCAGAAGTTCAAGGGCATCCTTAACTGTATAGCAAGTTTGAGGCCAGCCTAGGCTACGTGAGACCATGACTCAAGAGGGAAAAAAGAAAAAAACAGGGAGGAGAGGATAGAGTCAAGCCAACTGTGGACTTTTGTACCTGGACTACCAATACTTAGAAGCTGAGAGAGAAGGATCACCATGAACTCCAGGCTAGCCTAGGCTACAAAGTGAGACTCAGTCAAAAATGGGGTTGTGGGGGGTGGGGAGGTGGTCAGGAGCAATTGCTCAAAAGGTTCCAGGATGTTCTTCTGACCTTTACAAGGTCAAGAAACTTTGATAACCTATGCCTGCGCCTGAATGGAAAGACATCTGGTAGACCACACTTGTCATTTCGAGTCAGCATGATAAAGCTCACTGAGGTTTATTAACGCAGACATGTTGATCAAGGCTGGTCTGTGCCACACAGGAGAACTCTTCCTTAGCAGTGCATTCTTTGGCTTTCGTCAAGTGGCACGTTGTCTGTGGACTTTCCTATTCTCCAGCCACAGAGGAGAAAGTCAACCCTACCCCCCTGGATTTGGCTGTTATGAGGTTTAAAGAGGATCATTCGTTTTCATTACAGAAGCCCTTCTGCCTCTCCTCATTAATGAATTTCCAGTCTTCCGTTTAAAAACACAACACAACAACAAACAAACAAATAGACAAAAGGATCCGGCAGAGGACGCAGTTAAGTGGCTGGCGGGCATGACTGTGTGGGCTTTAGAGGCGGGGGATGGCCATTTACTGACTGTGAGGAGAGGCTGACATCCTTGGTTAATATGCTAATTTTGTCTCTTCCATTTAACATTCAGATCAGGTCTGTACAGGCCCGCCCTAGCTGCAGAGTCCAGGGATGGGTGGCTGTCTGCCTAGCAGCATAGAACATGCTTTGCATGAATTACATAAATACCCAAGCATCCAGTCTGCACCGACCTCACACTTTCCCTCCCTCTTCCAGAGACACACAGACACTGAGCCACATGCATGCAAGCACGCAGTGCACATGATGCTGACACATGTACCCACAAACAGCACAGGCACAGGGCTCTATGAACACTGATGGCATGCAGAAAGGTACCCTAACCATCCATAGCTGGATTTAGTCCATATTCTTTGGGTCTCTAATATATGTGCAGGATGTTCTTTTTACTGCTCAGGGAAACTTGAGATATATTGGGGAGCCCAAAAGAAAGAAGCAAGGTAAAAGTTAAAAAACCCCATTTGTAGGAAATCTTATCTAAACTACTGTATCCAGGATGTTTTTGAAAGTCCACTTTTCCACTCGTGGAAAAGAGAACTGTATAGCTCCATTAACTGAACACCCAGAGAAAAGAAAATACAACTGTTTTTATTCCTTGGTATCCCCACTCTGTCCATGTGTGTTTGGAACACTGTATAAAAAGAGTTCATGGTTGGTTTGGGACTCACCAAGCCACAGCTGGGTGACAACAGAGGAATCCCCAAACCAGCTGCCATATGTTGGTCCAAATGGCAAAGATGACCACCTGGCACGTTTGCCAGAAGCCTCGCCAATGCAAAACTGAATCTCCCCAAACTGCTCTTCCCAGGATCCCTCTGTAATGGCGGGGCAGCTCCTGGAGACAGACGGGAGGAGCAGCAGCTACTAGCAGAAGGCATGGATTGGACTTGCTTTAAACAGATGGAGCGGTTTTGAGCCCGCAGAAAGACTCCAGTGCAAAGGAATGGATATGTTGGCTTTCACTGCTTGGGTCTGTCTGGTATGGATTTGGTTTGGGGTTTTTTGTTGTTGTTGTTGTTGTTGTTTTTCTCAGCATATGGCATAGCTGTGTAAGCTGGCATGCCATGGCTCTTTCCTGAATCTTGTCCTCTTGTACCCACAATAACATTCCCAGACTCAGCTGAGGAACTCCAGCGGTTCCCATGTTCGCATCGGAGCTTCCCAAGCCATGGGTGTTTTCTCCGAACTGCAGACTTGATTTGCCTTGATTATTATTTTTTTGGCTCTGATCCAAGATGTCTTCCTGTCATCATCTCACCGTCTTTTCCAGTAATCCCTTTTTTAAACATCGCCAACAATTAGTCGATTTATCTCCATCACCAAGGACCACCGCCCACCCCCATATCCACATCCACATGCAGACATACACTCAGCTGAGCCCCCATCCCTGTCTTGTTTTGCCTTGAAGTATAAGAAATCACAGCTTCTCATTATCTGGAGAGCACGTTTGGAACGGCTTTGTGTTTACTCACTTAGTAAGTGATGCTGGCCTTTTTAATTATCCTCCTTCCGCATGCCATTTAGAGCAGCAAGCTGTTCAAATCAAACCGAACGGGTGCACATCCTCGGCGAGGCGGTTGGAAAAGAATCCTGGTTTGTTTTGTTTTTTTTTTTACCTCACTGCTGGCTGCGTCCTTCCTTGTCTGTCAGCAAGCCAAGGAATCCCCCCACCAAAAGCTCTTACGTAGGAAGACACCAAAACCGTGAGTCACTTTTCACTCTCAGAGCCGAAGAACCCCACAGCATTTTGCACCTAGCAGCAGACCCAAGATGATGGGGCTTTCTTCCAAGCCATTGAGATCCTTAGGACCAGATGTCCAGTCCTCACACCATTCTCTCTTGACTGTTGCTCCCTCTTTCTCTTCCGCCCTTCTCCATCCTTTCATCCTGGAGCATTCTCCTCTTCTTCCCTTCTGAGATGTGACAGCCGCAGACCACAGCCAGAGCTGAGTCCCTCTTGCCTTCTGCTATTTTTTCCCCTGCAGCAGCCTTTAGCTGCTACCCTCTGCAAGCTGGATCACCAAACACACACGACTCGCTCACAATGAATAATCAATACGGATATTGATCTAGGGAAAAATGTTTGTAAATTCCTGAAAGAGAATCAGGAGCAGGGGGCAGGGAGGTTCGTGGGGGACGACGCTGCAGAGCTCCACGGCAGGACCGCTTTTGGATCCCCAAGTTTGGCCAGCTCCGAGGTGACGGTACCGGAATGCGTGCCGATGAGGGTGTGCGCGTGTGAGGATGGTGCTGTGTAGTCTCATTTCTCTACAGCTGCTTTCCCTGAAGAATCAGGAGCCACATGGTCGGGAGCCCCCGTCAACGCCATGGCTTGGCTGCGGGCCAGCACTGGTTTGTTTTCATTATCACACGCTACTTTGCAATTTGCATAAATACAGGGTTATTTTTTATCGTGTCGCCCAAAAGATAGAGCAGGGGAAAAAATAGACTCTTTGTTGTGTGCAAGAGGGGCTTGCTGCCTACTCATCGAGGCTAAGGATTTGCCTCTTGGGCAGAGCTTTGGGGCGTATAGAGAGGGCTCCAGAAGAAATACAGGCAAAGGAGAGATAATAACATGAGGGGAAAGAATGGGGGGATGTAGGATTTAATGAGAACCTCAGGAAACTCAGCTTGGTAAAACCAAATATTAAAGACCTGTTTTTCTCTGCAGAGAATGATAAAGGCTTAGGAGAACAAGGTGGAGGGAGCTGCCCAGTCTCTCCTTAGACACCTTGGCTTCCTTCTGCTGGAATGAACCACGGGTCCGGGGGCAGCTACCACAGTCAACATATGTGCACTTTATCTTGACTCCCATGTAAAACACGGAAAGACCAAGGATAGACCATGAGTTCCCTCTCGGCTCTGATGGTTCTCCCCAAAGTGAGAGGCGTCACACCCAGTCTGTTTCCTTCCCTTCCTAACAGATTGAGCCCTTCTGCTCTCCAGTAAAGTGTGTGTATGTGTGTGCGTGTGCCCCCCCCAACCTCAGCAAAGCTGGCACAGAGCATGATGGCTTAATGACCAGCTGGGATGGCTCCATCCTGCATGTACTTCTTAGCCATGGAGACATGGGCTCAGAATCCCAGAATCATGCCCCAAATCGGTGTCAGGCACTCACGTGATTCTGGAAGTAGACCTTCAATTTAGAGAACCCACCCAACTCTCTCAGCAACTAGCGGGTGGGCACCTTCCCACAGTGGCCTCTGCTCCTTCTATCTCTCCTACTCACTGTGAATTTGCAGTTTGGTAATAAAAAAAAAAAAAATCTTTGAAATCAGTCTGCCCTTTCTCCCCTGGCCCTATCTCCTCCTGGGCTGGTGACAAAGGGGATGTGTCACTTGAGATAGTCTCGCTGTCAGGAGTAAGACCTCTACATGAGGATTCAATTCCAGCACCCCTTGTCCTGAAAGGCGCTGTCCACTTTATCAGCCGCCAGCAGTACCTCAGCAGCGGCAGCAGCAAACACGGCTTTTTTTTTTTTTTTAATTCCCTTTCTGTCTTCTGATTAGCTCTGGCAATCCAATTAGCAGAGGCATTTATATCACACAGTCTGAGGTTCCCCTACACATCATGGCAGCTCCAACCCACTCATAAATCCCACCGATCGTACATCTTCCTGTGACATGGATTAATTACAACACCAGACCCTCCTAAGTAGGTCTACCAGTACAAGTACATAAGAATATTAGAGTTAAAGAAGGGGCCACAAGGAACGCCTTTTGTCTGTTATCAAGAATGCACCAGGGCTGCCTGGGGGGTCAGCCTCATTCTCCATCTCTGCACCAGGGCATTGTTCAAGCAGATATTGAAGAGGTCAAGCGGGCCTGAATGGTGCATACTGGGGGATTCAGGAGTGATCTAATCGTGGCACATCCATGTGTGTGTTTGTTTTTTCATACCTTTGGGCCCTTTATTGTGAAAGTTCAGAGTTCTCAGTGGCTCATTTCCTACTCTGGTCCATATGCCACCCAAACAGTTAAACTGTTTTAAAACCCTTCACAAAGAGAGATGTCTTTATCTCCATTGATATTCCACTACAGTAGGACACAATCATGATATTGTGGTAACTTTGCATCTATCTACAATTTCATTCCAGATTTACCCTTACATTCATCAACCTCTAGCATCTTTCTTTCCATTCATCTAGCTATATTCATTTAGATATCAACTATTTATTCTGCTTCCCGGTCATCTATTCATCCATGTGCATCTCACTATCCATTTTCTAACCATGTATTGATCTATGAATTTCTTTCTATTATCTGTCATCTACTTGTCTATCCATTTGTGTCTCTCTTAATTCATTCATCTACATTATCCATCTATCTGTTTTTCTATCTATTCATTAATCCATTCAATCATCTATCGTTGGCGTATTGGTGACCAATCCCTTTTTATTCTGTGCCTTTTGTTAGCTATGATCTTAACAGGATCCCAGATTCACATTCCCAATCACTTTTAAGGTAAAAAAAAAAATGGCCATTTTCCAAATGAAATCTATAAATGCTATATGCTTTGCTGTCCATTCTTGAGTTTAAAGAATGAACTAAAGAAATAAATCAGTGAAATCACATGGTTTTAAGTGAGTTAAAATTACAAGGAAAATATTTTATCCTAAATTCCTGGAGCAATTTCCTTGCTTAATAAAATAGGCATTTCTGTTCCACTTAAACCATGCCTTTAGGAGAGGTAGATTTTAGATAATGTTTACAACATAAATCTCATTCACTCTGTTATATTTACCACTGTGCATCCTTCATGCAAATGATCCAAATCAACCAGAAATAACTTGAGATTACTTTTATCATAAAGCAAAACAGATATTAACCCTAATGTGGTAGTGTAGTTGTTTGCATTTAGATGTCTTCCTTCTCTAGAGAGGGTCCGAGACCATGTGTGTGTGTGTGTGTGTGTGTGTGTGTGTGTGTGTGTGTGTGTGTGTGTGTGTGTATAATGTATGTGTATGTTCTTATGTGTTCTGGGGGCAAACTAAGGACAAAAAATTGGATTTTTTTCTCATTACTTGTATTGAAAAATGTATTTAAGTCTAAGCTGAAATTTAGACTTCAGTACTCTTCTAGAACCCTAGTTTTAGCTCCACAAGAAATAGGCTTATAGGGAGAAGAATAAGCAAGAGTCATTCCACCGAAGATAGAAACCCCACCTTGGTGCTCTGAGTGGTGAAGGCTGAGCAGTGTGGCTGTGACTTCTCAGAGTTTGCAGGATATTGCTTCCCAAGTAGTATCCCAGGTGAGAATCCTACCTAAGCAGCAGATCTCAACTCTGCCAATATTCACCATCGATAATAATATTATGGTAACATAAAGGCAGCATTCCCAAGTAGGAAATCACTGGCATTTTTTTTCTGATTTTTGTTTGACTAAAAAGAAATATGGTTCTGGGCCTGGTGGTCACCAGCTCTCCCTTGTCTTCACCACCAGAGTGAGCTCCTCAGCATTGCTCAGGGTTATGTGTTGGCTCACTCCAACATCCACCCCATCTGTGATCTGCTAGAGCATGATGGGGGGTGGTCAGTCCTGTGGACCCAGAGCTGCAGGATCTCCAAGACACGGCAGCAACGGGATATCCAGGAAGAGCCCCAGTGAGGGCCCAGCATCCATGGTGCAGCAGAAACCAGGGGCTTCGAACCAGACCAATGATTCTTCTTGATAAATGCCTGCATGTAAAAATGTATGGATAAAGGGTTTACTGCATGACTTACTGTGTCACACTGCAGCTTCCACGACAGATTTTCCCTTTCTTCCTTTTTTCCCTTTTTCTC